AAAAAAGGTAGCTAGAGCATAAACAGGATTCTGTTGATGTACCTTTTCCCCCTTAAGTCTTAGTTTTTTACTGACAGCTGTCATTAAAGCTTTCTGCTGCTTTCAGTTGTTTCTAAAGGTGTTTAATACAAGCTGGCAAAGGGAACAGAAGTCAAAATAATTGAAGGAGGCAAGAATTACTTCAGAGTGGGATGAGAGGGATGATAAAGTATCTAATTAGCAGCAAAAGGGTGATATAAAAGAGTACATTACAAAACAGGAGACTAAAGAACAGGGACAAACCTGAAAGGGATCTAAAATCATAGAATCGTTATTATAGAATCATTAAGGTTGGAAGAGACCTCTAAGGTCATCGAGTCCAACCGTCCAACCTTTCAAAATGATAACAGAGGAGTAGAAAAAGGAGTAGTTCCCATTTTGAGCCGGGAGATAGAGAATGGGTAGGTTTGTCCCTTCGCAAATACGCATTTTTTTATGCTTTTGACTTTTGAAACAACACTGGTCATGCAAATGGTGCAGGCAGCTTCTTTCTATCTTGATGAGCAGCAGAAGTCACTGAGTACTCAGTAGACTCATTACTAAAAGTTCTTTAAAAGTGGAAATCCTTGTTTGTGTTTATTTTTCCAAACTGCGGGATGTGCAGGCAGAGTGGATTATGTTAAAAGTAGAGTCCCCTGGGAGCTGTGCACGAACATAGTAAATGTCAGTCATCCTGGATCTGTTACCATCTGTTTACGTTAAGACAGGCAATCGATTTTTACAGGCTGTCATAAAACAGAAAGATTTTTCTACTTACATAGAAAAAAATTCAATTTCCCTCAGCTTTTTTCCCCTCCTCTTTTACAGCAGCGTGAAACTACACAGAAATCAAGTCGGTAACCTTGATGGAATAAAAATACTCTGGTTTAAACGGTAAGAGCTTAAGACATGAAATAGCAATACATTTAAGCTCCTGCTCTTAAATATGGGCAGAACAGATTTCACTATCTTCCAACATCAACTTACTGAAAAAGTTCAAATGATGTAGTTCAGATGTATTATGGTCAGTATGGCTTTCACATTAAATACAATCCACACTTCTACATTAACATTTATAAATTTCATTTCTGTTGGACTAAATGCATGAAGCCTCTTCTGAAATTAATATTGAAACCTTTGGGTAGCCTTCTCTTTTTACACTTTAAGCTTTCAAAACTAGTTTGCCATTGTGGATCACCTAGAAACCACTCTGACTGCTATTTATTATTGCTATTTAGCCAGTAATAATGAGTGATTGCACCTTTGTCCTTCCTTTAGTTATGACTGTTCAAGAGCCTCTATCTTCTGTTTGTTTTAGCACAGTAGTCTATTACCATACTGTTAGAATAAAATTTCTTAGTCTTTTAAGAACTCTAGTCTGTATTAGATTGTTATCTAATTAATTGGCGGTAGCCGACTGACCACGCAGTAGCATGCATGTGAAGAGTGGAGAGCTGGAGAGCAACGGAGTATGTAACAAGCCAAATATGTAAAGAGGCATTATCTGTAAATATCTGCTAAATTTAATCCTGTCTCTATTTGATCTCTTCCATTCTTTCAAGTTCTGCACGTGGCCTGCAGAAAAAAAATCATTATCCTTGGTCTTGAGAAGATGTCTAGCAAATACACAGGAACACATGCAGCAAAGAAAGTTAGCTGAGACAAATGTTTCTTGCAACCAAGCCCTGCCAGCTGAACAGCAATGATATACTGAGGAAAATAAAAAGTGAAATTTATTGGGGAAAATGATAACAGATTTCAAATGTGTCACAGTATCAGAGAAGGAATTCTGGGGGATCACCTTTTTGTCATATTGAAGAAATGAGAATTCATGTATCACAATAATGCGTATGAATCCCTTCATTTAAATGACTTCACAGAATGCCCCGTGTAATCTCTCAGCTGAGCTTTCCACAAAGATTCTACGAACAGGAGTCTGTAATAAGAAAATAACTTTTTGAAGGCGCTAACCCTTTTCATTTCAGAGAACAAAAGCTTCTATTCAACTACTTCACTGAGATCTTAGGGATCGATATCTATTTCATGTACATCTAGTCAACTCTCACCTTACGTCCCTCAAGATTTAAGATTATGATTTCAAATTACCGTCAGATTTGTCTGTTGATTGTCTGTTAATTGCTCTTCTGACTGGCCAACAGAGAGATTCAAATACCCACTCTACAGACCTTGTTGAATGTGTCTATTCATTGTGCTACAGCTGCAACAGCTAACTAAAAAAATTATGTTGAAGCTTTCAACCAAACTCTTGCTGAATTGCACTGCTAGAAGATCTTCTGCTTTGCTGAACTACTCGAGACAAGATCTAAAGAAACAAAAGGATTATCAGCAAAGAATAAGGCAAATAACACTTGAGGACAATTTCTGTCAGTCACTGAGGTTACAGAAGTTGTCAGTAAGATGCTTAGGGTCAATCTTTAGGACTTTTAGCCCTCATTTAATGGTAGAATTATTTTATTTCCTTTAAAGAATCTTGCAGTTGGTTTCCCCCCAAGGACATGGGGAAATTACTTGCCTTCAATAGATAGGTAGGTAGGTAGGTAGGTAGGTAGGTAGGTAGGTAGGTAGGTAGATGGATGAGACGTCTTCACCAGTGCCCATTTAAGTTTGTAGACTGCTCTGGTTGTGACCCAAGAGGCAGGTTGGTTTGTCTGTGGGGAAGCCTTGAAAAACCCCTGCACTTACACCAGGACAGCTATTTTCTCTGCCACTCTGTGATCCCAGAAAAGAGAAGTAGATCAAGCCTGTCAGGGAGGAGCTATATTGCACAGATCGATGGCTCCAAAGAGCAAGAGAAGTTGAAAGAAAAGAGTTCTCTTGCTGTTTCCTTGAGAGAGGTGGAAAGTGCTCTAAAAGTTGGTTACAGGGTAAATGCTGACCAAGTGAAGCATGAAAAGCAAACGGATGGCACTGGCGAGAGAGCCAAACTCCAAGCCCTAGCAACAGTGCTGAACTCCGGCTGGCCCCTGCAGAGGGAGAAGTAATCCCCTTTTCTAAGAATATGAGGACAAAGGTGCTCACAGAAAAAGAAACGAGGGTAAGAAATGTAACATCCCTGGTGCTGCAGAAGAATGAGAGCAAAATTCATCAAGGAGCACTACGGTTTCTTGCACAAAGTGGGAAGGCAAGCCAGCTCCAAAGGTCTGCCGGGCAGCAGCCTGGCACGCGGTGGATTGCTGTCGCTAGGCATTACCTCGCTATTTGTGCTCAACTTTCTGGAGAGCTTTACATGCGGCAGAGCAGGGGTCTACGCAGTCAGGCTTTGCCCACCTACAGGTACTGGTTTCTAGGGTACGCTGGCAGTAGAGCTCAACTCATAGTCAACATTTTGTTTTTCCTAGATGCAATCTGTTTCGTATTTTTTTTTGCTAAGGCCTCCATGACCACAGAGGTCTTCTAGATGCCCATGCCACGAGCACATACATATTTTATAAGGGTGTTGTTGCATTAGGCACATCGGGAAAACAACTTTTTCTGAAATGAGTAGCCATCTACAGCGGTGCTCTACAGTTTGACTGATCAGCAGGTTGGCCGACCACCGTTAAGAGGTGGAATGAGAGAGGAATGAGCAGTCTGTAAGTGCCAAACTGAAGAAACCTCAGAGGGAATCACTGTCACTCACCAAATAAAACTGGCTTTCTTTGCAGCTGATATAATGGATGTTTTTCTCAAACATCTACAGACTTTTTGCTTTCACTGGGCCGAAAACATGTATTCTGCAAATATCTGTATTTTGTTTGTGCTTAACCAGATACAATTAGCCAGCTCTAGCAGCTGTGAAGTTGGGAAGGCAAACACTAGTGACCTGTTTCTTCTTCCTTCTGCAAAAAGCAAACTAAGAAGCAGTTTTAAATCGCAATAGGAAACATTTACTAAGCAGCAAGTGTAACTTCAGAAAGCAGCAGTCCTCACACGGCTGCGTAAGAGGCAGTTACTTTTTTGCATGACCTGAAACTTAGCTAAGAACTGCCCAAATAGAGTCACAACAGCTACGATGCTTCCTTCCGAGGCCCTGTCCCTGTCCGTCCCAGCGCCGGCGGGAGCGGGACCCGGCAGGACGTGTCCCAGGGGACGCGGTGGCCCTGGGCCCCGAGTGGGAACCGGACGTTTGTGGTCTGTTTTATTTCTAACAGCCTTCCACCCGACGGGCTGTCCTGGCATCCCCGGGGCACGCTGGGGAGCACGTATGGGCAGACAGCAAACAGTTAATTTACGGCACTTTTGTAAACATTTGCGAGGGGGGATGCTGAGATAGGGACCCGTATTTCACACATCCCCGGAGGCGGCGGCGGGCGGGGACGATGTGTAAGCGTTGCTCCGTAAGGACCCGATGCTGTAAACGACCACGAATTCCTCCAAATC